CCCCGTTACATTCATCGTACTAGATTTGGATGACAAATTTGATGTCATCCTTGGTCTGCCATGGCAAAGAAAATGCCAGCCATGGATTAGCTAGCAGCATCGTCCTTGAAGATGCCTGCCGTTTGTTTTATCAGATGACCATCTGATGAACATCTTGGAGCATCCACAAGCGTGTGGATGTACTACGAGTGAGTGCGATGGCCTCACTTGTGGTGCGGTCGTTAGTGTAACTGCACAAGATCACAGTGTAGAAGGCCACTGCACAGTGGGACCAGCTTCTGGCACCTGTGTAGAGACACAGGCTGCGCCGAAGGTTCACCACTCGAAGGTATCGAGTGGACTGGAACACGGGTTGATATTAAGCAGGGTGCATACAAGGAGAGAGAATACTGTTGTTCGGGATAAACAACACGTTGATGCGAGATCGACTATCAGAGAGTCGATCGTAGAGCAAGCCCGATCGACTGAAAAAGAGTTGATCGAAGAGGACGTTACTGTGGTAGTACACCCACAGTCAGTGCACGTATTAGAAGAAAGTTCCAGCGTTCCTGAGAGTGATAATTCCCGAGCGAGTTATGTTGAGGAGGTAGATACCCAACCACCTGCGGATGTGTTTTCACAGGAAATCACCGAGACAGTGAATGTCTTGGTGAATGACGGATCAAGTGTAGGCGCTTATGTATTTGATCTGGTTACACCTCCCAAGTCAGCTCCAAAGGTAGTCAAGTTGCCAACGCTAGAATCTAAAACATTCTTGCGAGATCTGCGTATCAACAATATTAAGCAGATCTGCGTACTCGTCACAGAGGACGAGTACGTTGCCGATATTCTGTCGGCACAAGTTTTTGCTGAGAACTAACGGGTTCTCAGTAGCTCATTTATGGACGAGAGTGTCCTCGATGAGAAGACCCGGATTGAGCGATACACGTCTCAATCTTGGGAGTCTTTAGAGACAAATCCTTTGCATAAGGATTTAGTTGAATTCAGGGATGTTTCCCGGAGTCCGTGCCATGCGAGCTGCCCAAGGACAAAGGCATTCGGTATGAGATCGAACTGAAACCTGGTTCAAAATACTGTGTCATGGACCAGTGGCCACATCCTCTTGAACAGGTCGCAGCGATCGACAAATTGTATGCCGATCGATTAGCGGCTGGTCATGTGAGGTATCAACATCCCCACACAGCTCTCCGACCTTATGCATGCACAAAGCCACAAGAGGGTGGCGGATAGTGCACGCGTTCAAAAAACTGAACGCTGCAACGGTACCGGCTCAGACGCCGATACCATGAAAGAACGTCATCATAGATGGTATGTCAAAGAGTACCATCTTTTCGTCCATGTATTTAATGGATGGCTTCTATCAAATCCTTATGCGAGAACGGGACATCCCATACACAGTAGTGAGCACTCCCAGTTGCATGCTCTGGGAGCGGCTAGTGATGCCACAGGGGCTAAGTGGCGCCCCTGCAACATTCAACATATGTGCTACAAAGCTGTTGCTATCGGTGCGCGATCTCGCACCGAGTGACTTCGACGATGTCTTCGTCCATAGCCTGGCTATGGATGGAAAAAAGGAAGTGGAGATTCATAAGATTCTTGTTTGGAAAGCTCTTACACTTAGGCGGGAGCGTAAGTTGTTCGCGAACCTTAAGAAGTGAATATTCACAGCGAACGAAATACCACTTCTTGGCTGCATCGTAGGTAAAAACGGTGTACACCCTGATCCAGAAAAGATCAAGGCGATTAGCGACTGGCGGGTGCCAGCCGACGTCAAGGGACTTCGAAAGTTTCTTGGCTGGGCAGTGTATTTGTACAAATACTCGCGCAACTATGCCGAGATGACTGTACATCTCTCTCGTCTGCAAAAGAAAAACGGAGGTGGTCATGGAGCGCTGAGTGTCAGCACTCTTTTAAAGGTATCAAGTAAAGCTTGGTGCAATCGCCTGTGTTGGCGATTGCGGACCAGGATATACCATTCCATGTGGTCTGTGACGCCAGCAATTTTGCAAACGGCTGCGGATTAATGCAGTACGACTCAGACGGAAATGAGCGCATCGTCTTTTATCAATCGCGTCAGCTGCAAGCAGCTAAGCGTGATTACCCGGTTCATGACAAGGAACCCCTTGCCATGAAATTTGCACTGGCTAAGTGTCGGGTATGTCTCTTAGGAGATAGACCCTTCATCGTTTATACCGACCAGGCTTCGTTACGCACGGTCGTAAACCGTCCACACCTCTTGCAGCGAATGGCGAGGTGGATGTGTTTATTCGCGGAGTACAGCTTTTTCGTTGAGTTTAAACCAGGACGACTTAATGTCGTCGCTGATGCTCTGTCACGTCGACCCGATTTCAAGCCAACTGCTCAACACAACAGTAGGGTTGATCCCACTGTCGCGACACTAACAGTGAGTGTTCCGTTGCGAATTTGCTCGACGACGTGCGAAAAACATACGCAGAGTATGAGTCTCTTCTGCGATTGATGGATTACGTATCCAATCCGTGCAGTCAAGCTTTGAAAAGCTTGTCATTTCAATACCGCTCTTCAACCGAACGGTATTCTGTTCGTGATGGACTGCTGTACTTTACAGCAGTCAACGGCGACACACCTCGTGTCGTCGGTCCGGCTCATAATGATTTTCGATTGCGCATCATGTATGAGTGTCTTGATGCCTCTACAAGTGGACATCGCGGTAGAGAAAAGACTAACCTCATGGTGAGTCGTAACTTCTACTGGCCCCGCTAGTATGAGTTTGCGCGGAAATAAATTCGCGCTTGCGAAGTTTGTCAACGGATGAAGCCTAGTCCTTCATCCTGCGGACCCTTGCAGCCTGTTCCGATTCCGGCAGAGTGTTGGCAGTCCGTATCGATGGACTTCGTCTTCGGGTTTTCCAAAGACGTCCACAAGAATATTGGTATTCTTGTGTTTGTTGATCGGTTCAGCAAGATTGTATATCTTGTTGCTGTACCGGAGTCAATCACAGCCCACGGCTGTGCGCGTGTCTTCATCGATACTATCTTCCGACTTCACGGGTTACACCGTGAACTCGCGTCCGATAGGGACCCCCGTTTTACAGCGGAGTTCTGGCAATCCGTGTTCCGTCCACTTGGAACTTGTTCGTCGATGTCAACTTCTGAACATCCAGAAACAGATGGTCAGACGGAACGCGTCAACCGCGTCTTCGAAGAGATACTTCGAGGGTACGTCCACTCGTTTACGAGCTGGAGTGAGTTCTTGCTGATGGCGGAATTCGCCTTCAACAACTCGGTGCATGCGTCGACAACGCAACACCATTCTTCGTGAATGGCCTACGCCATCCACGTTCACCCGCCTTCTTAGAGTGTGGCTTTAGTTTAGTGGGGGTGGACTCGCTCGAACAAAAACCGATCTGTTTCTTGCTCATCACTCGTCGACAATGGCGTCGACGTGATGGATGCCGATGTCGATGCGATCGAAACTGATGATGATGGTGACGACGATGCTGGTATATTTAGCATCGCCAATGACCGCCAAAGTAAGGAAGAAGATACCCTCAGCGGTGAAGACAACGTTCTTTCAGCAGTTCACACGAAGCTCACTGCTGTTGATTAGGATGAATCATCAGAGAATTTTTTGCTGACTCGCGAAGCGGTTGTCCGCTTCGTTCAAGACTTTATTGCAGATGCAATAGACAGACAGAAAAGAAACGCAGACAAACATGGAAGAGCAAATGTTCTGTCATTTGATGAAGGAGACCTAGTTTTACTGTCTACATTAAACTTACCGAAGCACGCAGTGACAAACGTAGGCAGCAGTAAATTACGTGCCCGGTACATCGGTCCATTTCGTTTGTTGCGCCGAATGGGCAACGCATACACGATTGAACTGCCTCGTAAGATGCGCACGCATCCTTCGTTTTACGTTGGATGTCTCCGCCCGTACTATTAGTACGAGCCCGTTTTGAGATGCGAAGAACACCTCCGCGGTCGAGAGCCGAGACCACCTTCTCGTGGTCCCGTTTCAACGAGCCATTCTGGTCGACGATTGAAGCGACCTGCTCACGCAGCTCAGCGATATCTCGACGAGCTGCAGCCAGCTCATCACGAAGAGAACGAGTTGAACTTTCGTTGTTAAGTTGCGCGAACGCATAAAAGCACAATCTTCCAAACGATCGTGCGCTAAGGAATTGTAATTGTCCCTTACAAGATCATGGAGCTTATAACGACGAGTTCGTTCATGAGTCAGGTCATCTTGCAAATGTTCCGTTAGACGGTTCAGCTCTTGAACATCAACTTGATCCGACCCTCGAGCCGGATCAAATGTTCCCGCCGCCACCACATCTTTTTGTGGACTCAAGCGGTGGTCAACGCTTTCTGGTGGGGCGTATTTTGAGCCACCGCGACGTTAGTGGCGTCCAGACGGGTCACCTCGTCCCCTGGCGTGGCTATCCACCGGCCTAGGACAGCTGGGAGCCCCGTACCCAGCTGATTGGTGATGTCCTTGGTCCCGTCGAGCAGTACGACGAGGCCTACCCGCTGCGTTCGAAGAAGGGCCGTCGGAAAACGACCTCCCCGAACGCGAAGACAGAGATTGCAAAGTGTGAATCCCTTCAGCCATATCAGAACAGATGCAAGCACTCTAGTAGGAATCATTAGGGAGGTAGGCCTTTCTAGGGGCACGGTTCGAGTTGTCCAGGCAATCTGGACACGAAGCACCCACGAGAGACAGGGTAACCCTGCCTCTCTTGAAAGCCGGTGCAACTTGTATCGCGCCCCGACGGGGTTGCGTTTCTCAAACCTGATGCGAGCTGCATCAGGTTCGGCGAGCCAAGCCTCACGGCCAATACACTCGATGTTGTGGATGAGGGCATTGCATCCCTGCACCAAGGCTTTGCCGTCTCGAACGCGGCTACCAATGTACCATTAATTTTTGAAAAATGCACCGATGAAGAATTCTTACTCAGCACGGATAGTCTCCGTGCCGGAATGAGGTGGGCAAATCTTTTTATAGTCGAACAACAGGATTCAATATCGATCGGTAGTCATGCCGGCCAACCGGTTTAACTCCCTGGATGGCGGCATCCACGGACACTCCACTTGAGAAGCGTGAAGCAGGACATTTCGGTCCCTGGCCTCTTGATTGGTGCCAGCATGAGCACTGGCACCAATGTTACCCCGATCCCTTGAGTTACTTCGCTCGTGGTGACGCATAGGTGCATCACCACCATCTCCTCGCGTCCTATCGTTGGATGGACTTGCGTGAGGCGGAGACTCATCGAAATAATTACTCGATCCGAAGACCTCGGTCATGATGCTGCCGCGCTGACCAGAGCCAGTCAATCTGGCTCTTGCCTTGTCCTCCCCGAATGACCCGGAGGCGCGAGGTGTCGCCTTCGATTCGGATACATCATCCGACTCGCCAGAATAGATCAGCTCTATTTCATACTCATTTGGTTTACGATTCGCGGTACCCGCTGCAGACGCAACGGATGTACCTGTCGCACGTGGTGACTCACCACGCGGACGATTCACAACGACAGGCGACGAAGCACCTGCTGCTGAGGCGTGAGAGGCACCATCTCCGGTCGCACGCATGCGTGCAGCCGCCCTTCTTGCTGCTGAAATAACAACTCTCTTGGTTTTAGAAACCATGCGTTGGATTGGCAAATGAATAAGATTTGACCAACAAGTGCTCTCTTCCTTGGAGTGATCTGAAGGTGGTCACCCTATCCGATCAATTCTAGTTCAAATAACGGGTGATTGATGGTTAAGGGGGGGTGATATAACGGGGTATCCCGTTACATGATATTGACACCAAACGGTTTCAATAGGAATGTTGTTTAGCATGACAATATTCTACCAATTTAATCTGGGATGGAAAAAATTGAAGAAAATATTCCCTTTTGGATATGTTTCATGCGCTGATCCAAGATTGGTTGATGTAAGACTTGTCGACCATAGATTGCCACCAATCGCTGCTAGACGCGCGCAATGAGTGGTGAGCAGGTTGTCGTCATGCGACAGGGTAGATTAATTTAGATGGATAATGATTAAAGTTAAATTGATAGCTAAACTGCGTTAAATACAGTTCTCTTTTTACCTTTACTTGAACGAGTAGTTCAAGTAGATTAGCTTCCTCTGCACGTACTAGTGTACGTGAATTTCGTGGCACCCAGAAAAACGGAGGCCTAGTACAGAATAACATTGAGGAAGTTGGGATATCTGCTCCGCTGAACACGTAACGTTGATCGTGCGAATTTGATAGGCATCGGTGGTAGACTAAAGGATGGTGAAAAAGTGTGTTTGGTGTCTTCTTTGTCGTTTGCACCTCACCAGTTGTTGTCCCCTTTACTGCCGCCGACTTTCCATCATTTGGCTGCTACAAGAGCTCGACAATCTATTCAATTAGGCAAGCAGCACCGTCTGCTCTCCTTAACGTCCGCTTTGTAATCGTCATTATTGTCGTCATCATTTTGATTACTCGTTTCGTTTTCGTTTACTGCTATAATCAGCACAAGTGCTCGTCTGCTGCTGCGTGCGACTTGAGACCGTATTTCTGTCGAGAATGTCACATGTGTACACATTTCAATCAAAGATAGAATCCGAGGTGATAGGACATCAGAGATAGTTACTGAATGTAGAGAGTGCTGACTGAATGCATAGTGCTGACATAATGCGGAGAGTGCTAACTGGAGATACCGTTGTCCAGGTGTTTATTATACTTATTATTGTTACTATTTTATAGGTGAGGTAGGTTAAGATGACGTGAGCCATGTAGTCGGTCTTGGGTCGAGGTACATGAGATGACCAGACCTCAGTGTAGAAGAGCAAGTGAGAGACTGCAGGAAGTAAAGTCGCAAATATGTTATCTCAGAGCATCAACTTTAATATCGTCCGGCCACAAAACCCGCACGCATACTCCACAAAATCATTTTATCGAACAAATTCCTGACCTTAATCGCGAAGCCTACTTCTTAGTCCATGGTGTAACTCCTTGTCGTTAAATGTATGTATCGCGAGAGTTTGTGGCTGCGCGTTCGGCATGCCCGCAACCTGTGGGCCAGGATGAACACACATCCTACATGGCATACCCATACTGTATAGTAACTTGCATGAATCCCAGGCTAAGATGCACAGGTCCAGGTTTGGGCCCCATGTTCCCTGCAACATGATCTACCGTTTGGTCACCAACATTCGCTTAGTTGTGATGCCATTCCCGAAGTACGTTGATGGAAGCACGTCGGAGAATTCTTCGAGGAGGGGTGTGCTTCAAGGTTCTTTAACTCATCCCAGCTCCTACTTCCAGGAATGATCCATCTATGTACTGTACTGACCTCTTTTGACTCTTGGTAATCAGATACTTCTGTAATATCTATATCTGATTCATGCGTTCATACATGTCCCTGAGAATAGCCAGTACTTGTCCATCCTCCCCACTAGTGCTGCCAACGTCCTTCAAATTATAATCAACGGCCTTGATAGAGCATTTGGTCGTCACAACGGATTCATCTCAAGCAGATAGCCTGGCATGGCGCTCGACTGAGCTCATAACCTGTTAATCCATGATGCGAATTGATCTGCACTTGTGCAGAGATAGTTAAAAGTAAAAGTAACATATTTTTTCATTGAATATTTTCCCTAAACAATGCTGCGACATGCATCTGAACTGCACCGCAACTTGACTACTTGGTTTCCGATGAAATTTGTATCTTCCTGCCCATATCATTCGGTGGTCTCACATTGCCGTGTCGTATTTTACCAGCCGTCAAGCTGTACCCCTCCGCTCATGTACCAAGTCGTTGGCCTTTCTCTATTACTTCCATTGCTCGTGCCAACTGACCAGATTTTGACGACGTCGGATTTGAAGACATTTCCTGATGAATAAGTTCGATATTTTGACGACGTCGGATTTGAAGACATTTCCTGATGAATAAGTTCGATCCCTGTGAAGGCTTCATCTGACGGGTGTCCATCCGTTGGCTCGCACGTAGAATTTCCCTCACCTCGTCAACATTCATCAATTCTAGGGGGTAAGTTGTTTTGCACGATCACGACCATTCAGCATTGTAATAAAGTGCTCCACAATTTCGCGACGTGTGGCCGATGTAGCCAATCTTTTTCTTGATCGCGGTCTTGGCTTGCTTTGCTGCAACACTAAGGATACACAGTTATTTCAGCGGGGTTTCATCGGATTGCTTCCGTGCAAGATAACATTATTTGGCCAGTAACACCCCTTTTCCTTCATACTATATAGAAAAATTAAATTTAGCAATCGCTTCCACTTGTGATGTGTAGATAGACTCAGTTATTTGTACCGGTTTCGTGCTGGCCCTATCAACACATCGCCTAGCACCGAAAATATTCTTCATCGGGCGCCTGATCTCACAGGAAAGCTGATTTGATCTTGCTGCTTTATATTCTGGCCCAATCTTTATCTTTATAGAATTCACTTAAACATCTCAGCTAAGTCATCGCTGACACACGATACTTTGACAAATATAACCACCAATCTGCAACGCGTGGTGGATATCAATTCACATCTGCGCTCTTCTTGCCCCTAGTCATCGGGATCACATGTTTATAGATTGAAAACGTCCGATCAAATGGGATGCGATCGGGCCGATTTTATCGTGACATCTGGCAGTACAATAAGCTCTTGTAGTCTTTATCCTTTGGCTAAAGTAAACCACTTGATACGCTCGCTACCAGTGTTCCTTCTCACAATCTTTCGGGGCCTCATCGAGTACCTGCAGGTGTTCTTGCGCAGTCGTATGTCTCTTCTTAGCACGTGAGATCATCGGCTAAGGATTAATCTTGATCGCTTATACTCGATCGCGCAGATTTTCTGTTCCACTTGGGTATAGATACATCTGCTAAATACTAATCGATCATTTCTGATGAATTTAAATACAGCTGAGGCGTATTGCGACGATCCAGTGCGATACCCCCTCGGATCGCCTGAGGTCGCTGGGTCATATTGATCCGTAAAATTGCATTTCTTCGTCTGGGAAATTGGCTTCTTATACATCAATTAGTGAGTGTGGGTCATCTGAAATTGATCGCGCTCCGACAAATTATTCGCGTCGAACGCTTTGGCGACAAATTCAGCTTCATGTTGTAGAAGGGCAACCATTAATAATAAGCTTTTTTGGCTTTATTACACAATTGCATGTGCAAGTTACAGGCAGATTCGAAGCGGATACTGCTTGTCCAGTTATGATTGGTTTATGATAAGGTACCAGACCCAAAATTTGCCAATGATAGTTGCATATATATTTGAGTAGTTTTCGTGAGCGAGGGAGAATGTTAGCACTTATTGCAAATTAATGACACAACCTTAAAAAAGAATTTTGTTTGGCTTTAAAAAAAGGCTTTGTCACGTTTTTTAAGTGAATGATGGAATTGGGGCTCTTACCTCGCTTCACCTGATATCAATTAGTTTTCATTATCATTACCAATTTCGAATTGCATGAACGAGTCTTCGATAGCTGCAGCGGTCCAGCTGGAGCATGCAGACTATCCCCATCTCACTTAAGTGAAAACATAGGTATTACACCGCCTTTAGGCGGTGTCTGTTAAAATTTACGTGAAGTAGCTGATGAGCACAGCGACATCCGGAAAACAATTTGCTTTTTTTAAGACTGTATTGTTTGCGAGCTCTCCAAAGCGAATTGGCGAGTTAAGACTTTCTTGACCAACTATTTAATGATGCAACTGAATGGAGACGTCGACGTACTCGAGTGATGGTCCAAATCGTCTTTCCTCTAAACGTATTTTAAGAGATTGATCGCGATATCATTAAGGTTGATTGACACTCCGTCGGCCAATAAATATTTCCTGCTATCTCGGCTTATCAATAACCTTAAAGAAGGACATTTTGGAACCATATTGTAAGCAAATTGGCGTTCTCCACGCGAAAAGATACACAGCGCAACTCATGACGATTGTTGTCCCTGCTCAAAATAAGTCATGCTTGTATGCAAACTTCATTTTGCTGTGACAGGATAAGCTGTCGTTGCATGATTACGTACATAAGGCGCGACATTTTGCTTCGTGTATAATATGGCAGCCGAAGGACATGGCTTGACAAGTCCTTGTCTTTGGCTATAATGTACAAGAGGGAATAAAGCTATATTGCCTCACGCGTGCTTAACTGAAGTCTCTCGAGGATGCATTTTATCTCGCGCTTCGTGATTTTTTCACGGTCGCGTAGTCAAACTTGCAGGCTGCGTCACAACTCCCGTGTATGTCTGGTCCTGATCTTATGATAATTGATGCAAATGAATCATCACGTGGTCGTGGCAAAGCATTTGACTGTGTTGCTTAAAGCCGGATCACGGTATGATGGTGTAGGTGCGGCGAGACAGGCCATAGTGCTACCGTCTGCCAAGGACCAGCGCCGATGTCCATTGGAAGAGCAGTATCACTAGAAAATATTTCTTTCCGGTGTCCCACTAAAAACAGGTGTTTACAGTAGGCGCGTTGAGCCCTACTGGCAGTAAAAAAACTACGATCACTCAGTTGGCAGCTAAAACTCGTGACATCAAAGTGATGCTTGCACACTTTAATTACACCATTATTCGCGACGATCAGAG